ATGGGTTAATGTTGGACTTGTGGGCTTGGGCAGCATTGGGTTGGGATGTTTTCGTGATGAGATGCTTACTCATTCACTGACTCAGCTTTCCTCCTGCAGTCGGCATCATTGCCTAAGTTTTGTGAGGTGGAGGACTTTGTGGACTGGTGTTGGGTTAATGGGTTAATGTTGGACTTGTGGGCTTGGGCAGCATTGGGTTGGGATGCACACTTTCTTTACATAAAACTCTCTTATACGTGAGTTGCTGTGGATTTGTTTCTCCAAAGTACCTAGACTAATACACATGTAAGCCTTGAACACCCTCACTGCACGCTTGACCCTGGACAATTCCTAAGCTTTGTTGCCCCCCTGAAAGCTTGTATCACAGTTGGAAGACTGTCAGCCCACCTACCAACTTTTGGTAGGCTCTGAATGAGCAGGACCCAGACGACCCGCATGGTAAGCTATCTGACAGAGACACTGTGATCCTTCCAACTGGTGACTCACGTGACCAGGGCAGAGGGCACCACCAGACCATCAACAAGCTCCCCAAGTTTCCCTCGAACTGCCTGGCGGTTTCGAAGACGAATGTTCATGGCTCCTGACTGTTCCTGCAGTGTCCGGATCTCAGAACTGATGGAGCTGAGGTCGCTCTGGAACGCTCCCAACATCTGCTCCATGCGCTGGGGGGGGAGAGCACATGATGCTGGAGCACCACTAGGGTTGGCCGGGGACACACGGGCCCTTTCACGTTCTTGATAAAGTGGCCCGAGTAGCCAGTCCTCCAAGGCCCGAGGACATTCATCTCTAGGACCAGCTTCGTATCCAGGCCACAGCAAGGCAGGCGCCTGTTGCCAGTACCTGTGCCCAGTGAGAGCTGGGCATGGGGCGTGAGGAGGGAAGAAGTATTCCAAGCTGACCATTCTGGAAGTGTCAACCCACCCACCAACTTCTTAATGCCCGGGACCCAGGAGGCCCATGTGGCAAGTTGTCTGAAGTTGGCATTGTGGCCCTTCTAACGGGTGACTCACTGCCTGTTCGCAAGGACAATGAAGAACTGCAGCTTAGGTCATCCTGAAAATGCCTCTACCCTGTCCCCACCTCAGGCCAATGACTTGAAAAACGACACCCAAATCCTTGGTCCAATCAGAGCAGGTTATTATGGGGTCACAGGTCAAGGTTACTAACCTCAAGGACAGCATCACAGGCTGTGATCTGGTTGTGCAGAGACGCTATGTTCTCACTCTCTTGGATATCTGACCCCCAAAAGTCAAGGGGCCTCATCGTGAAGATGGAGCGCCTGGGACCCACAGGACCTCTGTGATTTCTCCCTGAGGCAACCCCCAGAAATCTCAGGCTTAGCGGGGCTGTCTGCACCACACGCCGACGCAATCCCTGTGTCAGAACACCACTCTCGCCCTCTGCTGAAGGATACAGTCCCGAATGGATTTCTGCTCAATCTGCTGCAACTCCAGCTCCACCTGCTTTGAATAGTGGCGGAGGTCCACCCCCTAGAACATGAAGGTGACGGGTCAGGAGAAAGCACAGCAAAGGACCAGTGGAACAGAATCAGCAAAGGGCTAGTGGGTGACACCCCAAAGTGATGTAGTGTGAACAAGAGGTAGATTTCTTTCTTTTTTTTTGGCGGTGGGGTGGTGGTGGCAAGGTTTAGCTGAGGGAGCAGATTAGCAAAGCGGCAAGCCTCACCGTTTTAAGAGCTTCCTTTACTAACTCATCCTCCAGATTTGCCTGAATGTGAACTGAAAACAGAAAGTTAATGTAAGGGGGGGGCCACTTTCAGTTTCCTCTCCACCCCCCGGGGATCCATCCACACATCAAATCCCAGCCTCCATCCCTCAACCACCCGCTGCCTCTTAGATGACAAGGCACTGGCTCCCAGCTCGGTCTGACTGGTGCCACCACTCACCATCCACTTCATCCAGAATGAACTCGTCAGACGTGATGTCCAACTCCCCCAGCTGCAGTGGCTCCGGGAGCCCAGGCCCACTCCCCTGGAAAAGGAAAGATTACTAAGGGAGGGGTCCCCGGAGGCGAGACGTGGGAGAATGAAACGAGATAGGATCCTCCCAGTCCTCAAGTGGGAGAGAGAGGGGCGCTTAAACTGGGAAGTAACAGGTGCTGCGTCAAACCGTTTCAAAAGCTTCACACTGCACCTAGCTTATTATTTCAAGGTGTATGGGCAGGAAATGGGACCAAGGAGGGAAGCCACCCACGAAGAGGATGGAGGATTTAGGTCCCCCAGACTCGGGAGCACCCCCGTGGTTCTTCTAGAAGCGTCAGTCAACTTAACGAAAACAATGTCCATGGTGTTTATCTGGTGCCATTTTACAAACACGTAATTCCCGCAACGCCCTATACGGCACAGTGTATTCTTTGCATCCCTTGCGGGCATAACCGAGTTCGCTCGCCCCGGGGCACACAGGGTGCAGACGGCGGGGCTGGCATTCCACCCCAGGCTCCAGCGGCCGCAATCTTCACCTTGACTCTGCTTCTCTATCCTGCCCCCACATCTGAAGGGGGGTTGAAAGTATGGCCCTGGGACGCTGCTCTTCTCTGATCCCGGATCCCCGGGAGATGATGTGGGAGCCAGGCGGGGCGGGTCCGCGGCAGCAGCCGTGCGTCCCCGCTTTCGGGCCTCCACCCAGCCGGGTGTCTGTGGCCCGGGGAGGTCCGGACGGCGCTCTAGCGAGCAAACCCGTCGCACGCTCTCACCAGGGGACCCTCCTCCTCGTCCATCTCCGAGGCCCCGCTCCGCAACGCCAGCTCCCGGGCAGCTGCCGCCATGGTCGCAGCCGCGGCCATGACGTTCAGCCTCACTTCCGGCAGCTGTCAGTCCCGGCGAGTCCGTTCCAAGAGGGTCTCGCACAACGCAAAACCGTTCCCGGGTAATTGGGTCAAAGCGGGTCGCTCCGGCCTTCTCCTTTCAACTCGAACCACTTCGCCCCGGCGCGTAGGAGAGCCAGGGGGTGCTCAGGCACCGTCTCGCCCCGGAACCTTCGCGGCGGTCCGTCACACACTCGGCCGGAAGCAAAGAGAAGGTGGCACCGGAAGTGGCGGCCTCCAAGGCGGAGGCTCCGCCGTCGAGTCCGTTGGTGGCGAAGCAGTTTCAGGAAGTGCTTCGCCCGGTTTGTCCCGCCTCTTCCGCCTTGGACCTATATAAGCATAACACGTCACTTCCGCTCCCTTTTCCACCGGAGGCCTACACGCCGCCGCTCCTGCCGCCGCCATGGTAAGCCTGGAATCCGGGTCGGGATCCGGCGGCATCCGAACCGGGGCAGGGAAGGCGTGCTTTCCGAAGGCCAAGAATGCCTTGTCCTGGGGCCTGCTGCGTGCTGTGTGGAGCCTTGGATTGCGCCCTGAGAAAGGATGACCAAAACTTTCGAATGCCGGGGAACGGGACCCGAGGAAGGGTCACCGCCCGGACGCGTCCGAGCACTGAGGGCTTAGGGGTGTATGGCGACCCTCGGCCTTCCATATGCAGAGCATACTTTTGGGAACCGCCAGGGGCCCGACCCCTCTTTCCAGAAGTTCGCATTTTCCCCAGGCTCGAACGTTTTCCTGTTCCCGCTGTCGGCAGCCACGAGGAGTTTGCCGTGATGTGAAAACGTGACACGGGGCTCGTGGCTCCCCGAGTGACAAACTAGCGATTCGGTGTGGAGTTGTTCGTGCGTCTTCGGGGCCTTACGGTTTGACGGTCGTGCACGGTGTCTGACCTCTCCCCTCCTCTTTCCATCAGTCTCTAGTAATCCCCGAGAAGTTCCAGCACATCTTGCGAGTCCTCAACACTAACATTGATGGGCGGCGGAAAATAGCCTTTGCCATCACTGCCATTAAGGTAAAGTAGAGACTGCGCACGACCCTTGGGTTGTTGGGTCCCAAGTGACAAATGAGGCAGTGTTGAGGCCCAAGTCTCATCCAGAGCACTGGCTTCATGGGTTAAAAAAGAAGTTACAGGTGTGACTGGCCCCCTGAGCACAAAAGGTAAGAGTGGAAGCCAGAGTGGTTTAAGTTGTCAAGCCCAAAATATTTTCATTTGGGTGCAGGGAGCTGGTATGGTGCCTTCCTGGCTTTGCTAAATGTAAAAGCCATTCTCTGTCGCTTCTCTCGCCTAGTATGTATATGCTCACGACCCTTCCTGTTAAACTTATATGCCCCGAAAAAGGTTGCTCATGATGGGTGAGTAGCTTTGCCAACAGATACCAAGTGCAAGAAACAGCCCCAGGGAGCAGGTTGTCACCAGGACGGTTAACTCGGTGGCCACACGTGAAAGTTGGTGTTTGTCTAGCTGGAGAGCCGATAGGTTTCGTCTGTGCCTTGTTGGCAAGAGTTGGATCAGCTAATGCAAGCGTGGACATCACGTTCACCCAGTCTTCTAGATCGGGGCATTCTTATCGTTTGTAAATTATTGGGGGAACTGAGTGTTTGTTGTCCTTCTGTAACTCGTAGGGAACCAAGGTCAACCCAGTCATGCTCACAGTAATCCATCACTTGTGCATTGTTCATCCGATGTCCTGAAGGAGGTGCTGGGGATACAAAACCAGCCGGTGACCAGGGAGTCCCTGGCTGGTCCTGACAACAGGTCTTTGTACATGCTAATACAAAACCGAGCTAGTTGCTATTGCGTTCCTACACACTGTGACTAGGTAGACGTCCTTCTGGCTCTAGGTTTTAGACACCGGGTCCTCATAATAGTAGAATGCCTCTCATCCCCACGAAGTAGCTGGTGGCTTTGAATTACTGACCTAGGTGGTTAGTGAGTGGCCCAGTCCATCACCCACTCACTGCCCAAGCATTCTGTTACTATAAGGGGGAGTCAGTCTTGTGGGGTAATTTTTCCACTAACACTGAAGCCATTTTAATTTTTTTACTCTACTACAGAGGAAGCTTAAAATTAATTACTCGGCTTTCTCTTGAAGTGAGGCAATGGGAAATTCTGTATCCTACCTACCACAGAGGTTTGTGAGTATGAAAGAAGAGACTGGGATGCTTCTGCCTCGTTAGAGATTGGTGGGAATTGTGTGGAGAGCCAGGAAAGGCAGCTGCCTATAGGTAAAAACTGCCGAGCTTGTTGGGGGGAGTCCCTTTGTTAAGGGCCATGGACTGGGGTAATAGAAATGAACACAAGTATATATTTTAAATAACACACGTGGTGAACATGCCAGTGAAAATCCAATTAACCAAGGAGTACAGGAATGTGGTTCTCAGGACTGGCCAGGCAGCATTTTAGTCCCATGTGTATAGGGGTCAGCACGAGCTGGGAGCCAGCGAACAGTAATGCAGGTCCTGCGGTCTGCGTGATCCAAATCGTGCTGGGCTGCTTTCTCTAAAATGTCCAGTGACACCAGTGTTTGAGAAGGCCCGGCAATCTACTTCGGAAGTTCTACCCCGTGGAGCTTGGCACATACATGGGGTCGCTGTGAGTCTTCGCTGACAACTGGAACATATATACCAAAAGATGCTTAGATGCTGTGATCTTTTCCTTTTAAGTTGTCGCTTTAAGGCCAGTCTTCTAACTGCCATCTAGGAAACTTGAGGGTTAGAGTTCACACAAGCCTTGTTCATAGGGAGCTCTTAACCCACTAACGTGCTAAATGGCTGTCACCTTTGATGTGGTTTTGGGCACACGAGCGGTTCTGCCCTAGAGTCGAAATGGGCCCTCTGCAGATTATGGACTTTGTGGACCAGGTATTTTCTCACCTGAGTCTATGAAAAGTCACCCGCTGTTTCCAGGTACACAGTATAAGTGCAGTTACACTGGTTGGTTGCCATCAGCTCATGATACAGGCCTTTGGACAGAGTGATCACCCTTGCGTGTGCTCTTGTGAGAAAAGGAGGCATTAGGAACACTGGCCTGCTGGGACAGAAAAGGGGTCAAAGCAGTGTCTAGCCTGGCACTGACTTCAAAAGCTATATTAGGGGAAGTTGTAAGCATGCCCAAGTACACTTCAGTAAATTTGAGCTTTAAGGCCTCATTCACTTGTGGCCAAGAGGCCATTGCCGTTCAATTCTGGTGGAGAGTTTCCTGCTAGACCATCGTGGACACCGACAAATTCTGATCCCAAAACCAGTCTCTGGAGTCTGCTACCTTGCCCAAAGGACTGACCCGTCCACACCTTCAGCAGTCAGGTCCTCTGTCCTCCCACAGCTCAGGGGTGATTTGGCCTCTGGGATTTGCACCCTAGGGTCTCTGGTAATTGTCTAACTGAATTGAGGGAAGGACACTTGCGAGGTTGTAAAGGAACTTTCAAAATATTGCAGACCCTTCCTGTATGTGCCCCCACCTTTTTTTTTTTTTTTTGCGTAATGGAACTAAAATATGGCAGTAGATCTGATTCTTCCCAAACCTCCCCTCTCAGGGTGTGGGGCGAAGATATGCTCATGTGGTGTTGAGGAAAGCAGACATCGACCTCACCAAGAGAGCAGGGGAGCTCACCGAAGATGAGGTGAGGGCAGGGAGAAGGGGCTGTGGACCGGGAGGGCCTTCTGGATCCCCTTTGGATCTGACCCTTGTCCCGCCTGCCAGGTTGAGCGCGTGATCACCATCATGCAGAATCCACGGCAGTACAAGATTCCAGACTGGTTCTTGAATAGACAGAAAGACGTGAAGGATGGCAAATACAGCCAGGTGTGTGTTGGACCAGAGATGTGGTGGGGGCGGGTCCACCTTTAGGTGATTCGAGGTGAGAACACGCCCTTGTCCAAATCCAGGTCCTGGCCAACGGGCTGGACAACAAGCTCCGGGAAGACCTGGAGCGGCTGAAAAAGATCCGCGCCCACAGGGGGCTGCGCCACTTCTGGGGGTAAGTGGGGGTGGGGGTGGGGGTGGCTGTTCGCCCGCAGCCCCGTTTCCCTGCGGATAACCAGTGTTCTCTCACCTGCAGCCTTCGAGTTCGAGGCCAGCACACCAAGACCACTGGCCGCCGTGGCCGAACTGTTGGTGTGTCCAAGAAGAAATAAAGGCTATCAACCTTGTCTATTAATAAATAGTTTATACACAATTCCGTCTGCTCTCCATTCATTCGCCATTGCCCAGAGGGAGGGCACGCTTGGGGCTGGGTCATCGCTTCTCCCCTTCCTCCTGTTGACCACAAACGCAGAGACCCTCCCCTGCACCGAGCCTGGTGCTTTGGACCCGGGCTGATCCTGGAGTTCCATGCCCAGCATCGAACGCCAGGCTACTGGGGCCCCTCCCTTCCTAGCTAAAGGTTAGGGTCCATACCGCAGCCCCCCAAATAGTGCCTGGGCATGGGCTGTGACGTGTGTTGTGCCCCGCCCTGAACTCGGCGCCCGATGCTGTGTGCTCCGCAGCAGGAACGCCCCCCCCTGCGGGGAGCCCACGTGGGCTGTGACCGCCCACCGGGAGCCGCTTCCCCTGCTCCGCAGGCGGGCCCTGCGCGCCGGAGGCGGCGGCGGCGCCCCGGGCTGGCCAGTGGGCTGCGCAGGCCTGGTCGGCGCGGCCGTGAACCGGAAGGGCTGATGCTGTGCCAGGAAGCGCGGCCCGGAGGGGCTCGCAGCCGGGGCGCGCGGGCGCGCGGGCGCCGTGCGCAGGGAGCGGCCGGCCCGGGGTCCTCGGGTAACGGAACCGCCAGCCGCCCCTCCCTCTCCCGCCATGCCCCTCCGCGGCCTGCGCCGCCTCCTCCTGGCCGCCGTGCTGCTCGTGGTCGCCTGGACCCTCTTCGGGCCCTCGGGGCTGGGCGAGGAGATGCTGAGCCTGTCGCTGGCCACGCTGCTGCTGCCCGCTCCCGCCTCCCCGGGGCCGCCGCTGGCCCTGCCCCGCCTCCTCATCCCCAACGCGGGCTTCTGCCGCGGGCCCGGCGCGCCCCCGTTCCTGCTCATCCTCGTGTGCACGGCCCCCGACCACCTGCAGCAGAGGGACGCCATCCGGGCCTCGTGGGGCCAGCTGCGGGAGGCCCGGGGGCTGAGCGTGCGGACCCTCTTCCTGCTGGGCGAGCGCGCGCGCGGCGGCCCCGGGCCCGGCCTGGCGGAGGAGGCGTTGGCCCACGGGGACATCTTGCAGGCCGCTTTCCACGATTCCTACCGCAACCTCACGCTCAAAACCCTCAGCGGGCTCAACTGGGCCAGCACGCACTGCCCCATGGCCCGCTATGTCCTCAAGACTGACGACGACGTGTACGTCAACGTCCCCGAGCTGGTCTCGGAGCTGGTCCGGCGAGGAGGAGGCCGCTGGCAACAGTGGGAGAGGCGCCCAGAACCCCAGAGCTCAGCCACCGTTGGCGATAACGAGCAGGAACAAGGGGGCCAGGATTTGGGGAGCCAACCCGTGCCCCTGCTGTACCTGGGCCGCGTGCACTGGCGGGTGTACCCCTCTCGGTTGCCAGGGGGCCGGCACCAAGTGTCTGAAGAGCAGTGGCCGCAGGCCTGGGGCCCCTTCCCACCTTACGCCTCAGGGACGGGCTATGTACTGTCGGGCTCTGCTGTGCAGCGCATCCTCAAGGTGGCTAGTCGGGCACCCCTCCTGCCACTGGAGGATGTCTTTGTGGGGGTGAGTGCCAGCTGGGGAGGCCTCACCCCCACCCACTGTGTCAAGGTGGCTGGCGCCACCCACTACCCCCTGGATCGGTGTTGCTACGGCAAATTCCTGCTCACGTCCCACAAGCTGGACCCCTGGAAGATGCGGGAGGTCTGGAAGCTGGTGGACAGCCCCGACGGGGAAAGGACTGAGCCCCTCTGCTCCTGGCTCCAGGGCACCCTGGGTGTCCTGCGGTGTCGATTCATAGCCTGGCTGGACTCTTGAGTGGCTGGGCCCACTGGAGGAGCTGAGGGTCAGGACACTGGGACCTTTGCTGCCCGCACCCGAGACAGACGCCCTTGCCCCCGCTGGCAGCAGGTCCATCTCAGTCTGACACTGCGGACCAAGAAGGAATAGAGCAACCCGGGCCTAGCCTGCTAGCCCCCGGAGACGTCATCGCGGGCGGAGAGAACTTAGGCGAAGGGCGTGAGCCCCTCAATAAACTTTTTCTCTCTGCCTTGTGAGTGCAGTGTTTTCTTCACAACTCCCAGAACGCGCACTGGAGTCCCAGAGACCACGCCCTGTTGTGGGGGAAGGACCAGGCTCGGACAAGGAGCTCTGCCTGTCGGAGGAGAAGGCCCCGATGTCAGGGCAGCGCCCAATACGCAGGGCAGGGGCGGGAGAGTCTGTACGCCGGGACCCCACTGATCCAAGAGCCCTCCTTCAGACACAGGACACATGGACTCATGATCCAAAAGACAAAAGAAAAAAGTCACCTCTTTAATGTAACCCCCTGGAGCCAGCTGGCTGTGCTGGCTGGGCAGGGCACCCTGCCACCAGTCTTCCCCCCTCCCAGGAACCAGGTTGCCCCCACAGGATCCTGGGGAGAAACGTGTTCCACGTCACCAGGAGAGGGCAGGGCAGGTTCAACGCACAAATCTGTCCAGCGCGGACGGCCGGGCCCCCTCAGGCTTGGCCTTCTTTTGCTTCTGCTGCTGCTGGAGGCTCTGGCGGACCTTGTCCTGGGAGGAGAGTTGGCACAGGCAGAATGAGCAGTGGCAGGGACAGGCCCGGGGGGACAGAGGCCCGTCCAGCCCGGCAGTGTGCTCACCCGGTGCTCCTCGTCCAGGACCTTCTTCCTCCTCTTCAACAGGCTGGCCGTGGAGCTGCGGCCTTTCTGCTTGGGCTTCGGTTGGAAGGGCGCCTTGGCCTCGGGGTCGTAGCCCTGAGGAAGACGGAAGGAGAGCTCTGCTCAGAGGCAGGGAACCGGTGCACCGGTGCGGCAGCTCTCACCCGCTGTGCTGCCCTCGGGACAGACCCGGTGGGGTGGGGCGGGGCGGGCGGGGCACTCAGGGTGGTGGGCACGCGGGGGCCGGCTCTACCAGTCTCTCTATCCGCTCCTTCTTCTGCTGCTCCAGAGTGGCGACATCGACCTCCGCCAGGGCCCGTGGGTCCAGACAAATGAGCTCGGCGGGCACCTGCGGGTGTCACAGGACAGGAACAGTGTGGAGTCACAGGAGGTGGCACCAGAGAGGGGCAGAGCAAGGAGGGTGTTGAGCCCCATCTTCCCAAGGGCCCCAGCGCGGGGAGCCTTTTCCTATCCCCGGCCCCCGCCCCAAACCACACATAGGCACATGCTCACCTTCTCCAGCAGGGCCTTCACCTCCCATTCCTGGCGCTGCTTCCGGCTCCTGTACGGGTTACTCTCCAGGCCGTCAAAGTTGGGCTCGGCAGCCCCTGGAGGGAGGGGCACGGATGGAACCACAGGAAGAACCCGGTCTGCCTGCTCCAGCCCAGCCCCCTCTGCCTCGTGATCACAGGCCCACCCAAGCAGCCCCCAGTATATTCCCCAGGGAAAGACTCCCCATGCATGCCTGACCCACTCACCAGGGACCAGCATGCTGGTGATGCCCCCACTGTGCCCCACCCCCAGCACATCTTCAAAGGGGCAGAACTGAAGGCCATGTACTTGGCCGGAGAGTCGGTGGGTCAGGTAGGGCTGCTGCAGGGAGGGCAGGCTGCCCTTGCCCTGCCCTGCCCATATGTTGACCACATCGCTCATCCCCGCAGCCAGCAGTCCTCGCTGGGAGAAGGCCAGATGCCCTGCTCCCTGGGGTAGGGTCTGCGCGCTCAGAGGCTGAAACGTCCCTCGCAGGTCAAAGACCTTCAGCTGGTGGTCCAGGCCAGAGGTGGCCATGTACCTGGGAGACAGGAGGGGTCAACTAGTCAGTCCGTAGGGCTTGGCTGAGCCATCCGTGGCCATTCCCAGATTCACGGGAAATACAGCCTGTCCCCCAGGCACTGGGTCTGGCTGGGCGGGAAGACTAATCCCCACCCTCGTGCTCCAGGCAGCCTCTCAGGCACACAGGGGCCCTCCCTTTTGACGGGGAGGAAAGGGGCACACAGAGAAGGGAAGTCAGGGTGAGGGCAGGAGTGTGGGATTCTGGGCCAACCCATTTCTTCAGCTCTTACCAGCTCCAAGACACAAGAAACAAGCATCGCAGAAGCCATAGTACAGCGTGTGCCTACAGGGGTGTTGTGCTGGGGTGTGTGTGTGTGTGTGTCAGCTGAAGGGGTCAAGGACAGCCCAAGCCAGTCTACCCCGTTTCCAAGGAAACACATGGACCTTGCAGGAAATGTCACAGTGGCACAGAGATGGAAGCAGGGGTCTGGTTTCAGGGATGTGGGAAGGATGGTTATGAAAATTGGAAGGAGACAAATTGCTCCACGTCTCGGGGAGGGCTCTTAGCTCAATGTCCCAATGTTACTCGCCGGCCAGAGGCTGGTGAACGTCAAAGCCGCCACCCTGGAGGGACTGAAACCACCCGTGAGAAGGCCTCGCCCCTCTCGGCTCCCCAGCCGTGGGAAAGGCAAAGGAGGGGCCAATCCCCTCGAGGAGTCTCTCAGCCTAAGTCGGTTACTTTCAGAAGCTGAGATTTCTGTGTCCAAGTGGCTTCTAAGAGAGGGAGGCTGAAAGGGACCAGGCCACCAAGGGCCAAGGACTTCTCTCTCTTGCCCTGGCTGTGAATGCAGGAGGGGACTTTAGGGTCGTGAGAGCAGAGACTCACGCTGTGACAGAAGCAGACAGAGCTCTGATATGACAACCAGGACCCCGGGACCCTTTGGTGAAAGAGCAATGCAGAAGCTCATGCTGGCTGGTCCCAACATGCCCACCTGGGGAGGTGGGAGGTTGTTCCTCAAGAATTCTAGCCTGGTGGCCACCTTGGCATCCTGGCTACATTTGCAAGCAGTGGTTCACCTCTGAGAATCCAATTCAATCCTAACAAAAACTCCCAGAATGCCACTAGAAGAAGATGGCGAATCTCCTCTCTGGAGGAGGTGTGGCTTGTCTGAGGGGCTCCTGAGGCTAAGGCCAAGGACCGGGGTAGTCAGCATCAAAGTGCTGCCCAAATCCCCAGGCCCAGCGAGCTGAGGGCTTATGCCTAACACACAGGAGCAAGGGGAAGGCAGATTACTACTTAAGCCCAGTGGTGCCCAGAAGGCAAAGTCCCAGGGCAGGCCTCTCACCCTCCCAGAGCCAGGCTGCCACCCCACAACCCAAGCCCTGCCAGCAAGTCAATCCTGACTCACAGCGACCCTCTCCAGGGTTTCTGAAGCTGTGAATCTTCACGGGAGCAGCCAGCCTCATCTTTCTCCTGCAGAGCAGCTGGAGGGTTTGAACTACTGCCTTTGAGGTTGGCAGCCCATGACCTAACACACCAGTGCTCCTTCCAGCCTGGCAGAGACGAAGTAAGAAGCACCACCCAACCACTCGGGCACAGAAGTGTCAGTCTGAGAGGCCCGGGCCCGCCTCCAGAAGGACTTCACAAGCTGATGACCACTGGCCTTTCCTAGGCCTTTGCTGTGATGTCCCTTATCAACCGTTCCGTTGGCACGTCATCCACCTGTCAGACCATTCGACCACCCCATCACTTCAAGGAGAGTGATATAATGATCATCATCATAATTCTAGAAGATTCCCTTGTTCTCTGTACTCCTGGTTATGCACGGTGATTTTCTTTTTAACAATTGATGGTGACACCGTTTACACAGAAGTGTAAAAGGAGGAGAGCAGCTTGTGGGGTAGGACTGCGAAGGAAGACTGGCTGAGAACCAGTCGCACCCAAAGGAGACAGCAAGGGTGGAGAGAAACAGACCTGCGTGAGACCCCCGAGGAAGGTCCTCCAGGACTCCCCAGGTGCCTATGAGCAGTAATGAGCAATCCTGCTAAGATAAGTGTCAAGGCTTAGGGACCCAGCTAGCCCTCAATACATGGTGCCTTTGATGCCTGCCTGCCCCTGCTGACGGGTGCAGAGCGTGGAGGCTGTTGAACTAAGCTCAAGGAGCCAGCGAAGTTGGCGTCGGGGCAACTGGACGATGCTGGAGGAAGTGGGCAGCACGGAGGAGTCGGGCGGCGGAATGACCCATCTAGCGCAAACACTAAGTGCATCACCTGGCCAATGAGTCCCCCAGCCCAGGGGTCCACATACGACAGCCTGCTGCTTGTTTTTGCAAACGTCCTGGGAACAGCACACCCGAGCTGACTGGCCGTGCTCCCAGAACCTCAGCACAGACCAGGGCACGGGGCAGACCTGACCCAATTAGAAGAAAACACCCCGATATTTGTGTGAAAACACAAAGCCAAAGCAGGCCCTCAGGTACAGACACGCAAATCACACCGAGAAGCTCGAAAAGGCGCACGTAACTACTCTCCGAGCAAGAGCAGAAATGCAGAGTAGACACCCCACGCTCGCCTCTGACAGCAGAGGCGGGCTTAAAGGGAACGGTGTCTTTGCCGATGCTGGTGATGACAAAGGGGGGCCCGGTGCCAAGCTCTGTGCGTGCTTGACGGCTGTGCAGCTCGCTGAGGGACACCAGGGCTGGGAGACCAGGGCCGCCCGCCATCTATTGCAGTAGAACCCACAGGGAAAGAAGCGTATTTGAATCCCTCTTTCAAAGGGTGAAAAGAATATTGTGTGGTGAAGAACGACACGAAGTTCACAAAGAAAGCCGTCTTGAGACACCGCGAGGTGGACTCAGTTAGTCTGTGGGTTGCCGAGGGGTTGGGACAGAGCCCATAGAGGGCCCTCTCCACGTTTGCATGGCTGCCCTGGGCACCTACATGCTCCAGTGACAAGAGGTGGAACCTGGCCGCAACTGGAATGCCTGGTGCAGCCCCTCTCGAGTGTTTTTAAAGATGAAATACAGGAAATCTTTGCAAGTCAGCATTAGCCGATGAACAGTTTGCGTTTCAGTTTGATGACAGGTAACACTAACTTGGAATCTCAATGCCCCCAAATGTTACCCTCCGGCAGAGAATTCCATGCTCACGAATGAGCCTGTAGGACAAGCACGGCCCTCCATGACAGGAGCCCTGGTGGTGCAGGGGGTAAGTGTTGGGCTGTTAACCACCAGGTCCACTGTTCAAATTCACCAGCTGCACCTTGGACGAAAGATGAGGCCGTCTATGTCTAGAAACGGGCATTGACGGTCTCACACACCCTAAAGAGCGGGGTTGCCATCAGCGGAAATCAGTTTGCCAGCAGTGGATTGGGATTTTGGATTTTCCGTACTTAATTATTGATACATTTTGGGTTTCATCACTTAAAAAAAACGGTGACAAATGCTTTTGTCTCAGGTTAATTAAGTCCCTTCAACAGATACAATTATTTACGATCTGGTCCTTTTTAGGAGAAGTTTGCTGACCCCCTAAGCCAGGCACTGAGGAGCCCTGGTGGTGTAGTGGGTTATGCATTGGGTTGTTAAGCCCAAGGTCAGCAGTTTGAACCATCAGCTCCTCCAGGGAGAAAGACGAGGCTTTCTACTCCCGTAGTTCCGCTTTCCATTAGAAACATCCATTTACAAATAATTGCGATACTTGTCACAAATCACTCTTCCATAACTACTAGAAAAAGCGTGCATGACAAAAAGGTACAGTCTTGGAAATGCTCAGGGGCCGTCCTACCCCGTCCCATTGGGTCACCATGAGCCGGCATCGACTCGATGGCACCGAGGGAGAAGCTGGACCGAGGCTCCCCACCCTGGAGGGGAGGACACGGCCCGCAGGAGCTGGGTCACGAGCTCACAGGGCCAGAGCGCATTAAGTGACCGCAGGAGGAGTTAAACAAGACGGGCGGGATGTACTCTGTGTTCCTAAAGGCACATGAACGCCCACGCCTTTCCGTTCCCTCCCAACCCTTCCACTCCAAATGACTTACGTGCCTGAGGAATCTACGGCCACAGCCCGGACCCCCCCACGATGACAGAGAATCTTGGCCAGTGGCTCCTTCAGGGCTGGACTCCACAGAGACACAGTACCTGAAAGCGACAGAGGAGAAGCTAAGGCCATTGATGGGAGGCGGTAATTCAACCCGGGAAAGATGATGCCCAAAGACCAAGGGAAGGTAAAAGAGCAACATTTAGGGGCTCAGGAAATACAAGGAAAGAAGAAGAGCAGGTCAGGATGGGCCAAGGGTCACAACCAACGCAGGGCCTGACCGTTGCTGTGTCCCAGGTGGATGACGGCGTTGTAAGGGTTCTGAGTCATGACATCCAGGCGTCCAGCGCGAGCATTCAGCGCTGTCACAATCTTCCCCACTGACACATCCAGGTAGGTCAGGAACCCTGTCTCTGACTGACAGACAGAAAAATCGCTGAGTTCTTGTTGTCCCCTGGGGGACATTGGGGGCCAAGAGGAGGCGCAGCCTTCCCAAGGATTGCCACCCGGTCCCTGTGCTCTGCGGTCACTCACGGCTGTGGCCAGGAGGAAGTGGAAGGGCAGGAACTCCAGCCTTGTGACCCGGTCACAGCGTCGGATGCAGTGGAGCTCGATGCCTTGGTTGTCGTAGATGTGAAGCCAACGGTTCTGAGCAACAGCAAGCAGGGCCTCCGAGTGTAGAAACCTGGTCGTTCAACGGGAAAGGAGTCACAGGCGGCCATCCCATCAGGGCGGGGCTGTCTTGGTCCCGGGGACTGCTGCCTGGAAGGCAGGCCACTGACCGGATGTCCCGCACAGCCTCCATGACGTTGATCTCGCACATCAGCTTCTTGGTCACCCAGTCGAGGGCGGCCACATGGCCCCGGCGCCCTCCAAAAGCTAGGTGTCTATTGGAGGTTGGGGACAGAGTGTAGGTTTAGGGAAACCGCCTGCTTCAGCCAATTTGAAGTCCACCCCACGCCAGCCCCACCTTCCCCAGGTGAGAGATGCTACTCTAGGGCAGCGGTTCTCAACCTGTGGGTCTCGGCCCTTTTGGAGGTGGGGTGGGTGTTGAACGACCCTTTCACGAGGGTCACCTAAGACCATCGGAAAACATATATATTTCACAATATGTAATTGCATATGGTTTTGTGATTAATCATGATGCTTTATGTTTAATTACGTTCAATTTGTAACAATGAAAATACATCCTGCTTATCAGATATTTACATGACAAGTTCTAACAGTAGCAAAACGACAGTGATGGAGGAGCAACAAAAATAATTTGATGGTTGGGGGGGGGGCAGTCACCACAGCATAAGGAGCCGTATTAAAGGGCCGCAGCATTAGGAAGGTTGAGAACCACTGCTCTAGATGCTCACCCCCATGACTGGGCATATCACATCCCCGCCACCCACCAACAAGCCAAGCTTATTCTGGGAACTCAACCTCACCTCCCAGTTCGAGAGTAACTCAGCCTGTAGGGTCCGAACTGCCGCAGATTTAAATCAAAGTGCTGGGAAGGGGAGAGGTCAAAGAATCAGGGCAGAACTGGCTCTCTGAGGCCACTCCCTGTTCTAGCCCTCACTGCCCTCTTGACTGGAGTCACCTGCTTCAGAACCCTCATGGGGAAACAGACCGAGAACGCCATGGCTGGGGAGCTGATACCAAGGGCTCAAGCCGAAAGCAAATGCTTTAAGAACGATGATGGCAACACGTGTACAAATGTGCTTGACGCAATGGATGGATGGATTGTGATAAGAGTTGTGGGAGCCCCCATACAATGATTTAAAAAATAAAAATACACATTTGACAGAAAACAAAAAGGAAACGCCATGGCATTTCCCGCCAGCTTCTGGGAAGCCCTCTTGTTGATCCACTGGGCCCTCCCCCCCCCAGGCTCACCTTGGCTGCACTTGCAATGTCCACAGCCTCCACGATGTCCGCCTGACGGACTTTTGCTGTGTCCTCCCCATCCTCGCCCTCCAAAAACCTGCACGGGAAGGTTATGACGGCAGGGAAGCGCCCTCCCTCATGTTGCGTATCCCACGTATCCCACCCAGGCGCGACTGGTGGAGCCCAGGCGCGAGCCCACTCACTCACCCGGGCTCCTCTGCGAGCAGCAAGGCTGACCGGGCAGCTCGCAGGCTGGTTTCTTCCTCCTCAGCTTCGGCCACTTCAAGTCGGCTTCGGGTCTGGGCCTTCGCATGGGGTCGGCTTCGGGTCTGGGCCTTAGCATGGGGTAGCTACGCATTGCGGCCAGGGAAGCGGTTGGGGAAAGAACCAGGTTGGGGAAAGAACCAGCGTTAGGTGCAGGGGGAGGACAGGGGAACCGGGGCCCATTCCCCACCCAGCTCTGCCTGCAGTCTCTCCCTCTGCCCGGATTGGGCCTCACCTGCTTGGATTTGTTTATTCGGCGAAATTTGCCGGCGGCCTCTGCAGGCACAGGGGCAGGGCCTGGGAATGGGTCCTGGGCCTGGGGACAGGAGGACAGCGTGGGCTG